TCCCCAAACCCTCTCGCAACGTCAACAAAGAAACCACGTGGAATATTACGAATCCACACCCCCCCCCCCCTACAAGCAACCGACGATGTTTCTGGAGCACAGCCCCAGGCATTCTCCCGCTGAAGTGTTCAAGTTCAAGTTCATGTATTAGGCTTGCTCCATGCCGTGTTTAAAAAAAACACTTTTTTATCTTCAGTTTAATTTATTTATCTTCAGTTTCATTTATTTGTATTCTTGGTTCTTTCCGTAAAGTCACGTAGAAGGGAAATAATAAAATAAAACATTATCAGATAAAATTCTCACGATGTTTCAGCCACCACGCAAGCAGCCGTCCTCAGGTGAAGAACAGGTCTGTCGGAAAGACATTAGGACACTGTGATAATTTCATCGTATTATGTTTTATTTTTATTATTTTATTATTTCCCTTCTATGTGACTTTATCGAAAGAACCAAGAATATGAATCCATACAGTCACGAAAGCTTTAAATCGAAATTCATTTATTAGGTAGAGCCCTGTGAGCCATTCGGCTATGTGTGTAGGCGATGGGACTATGTGGTAAGGTCACGTGTGCGTAGCTAAAGTAGAGACGATATATTACCCAATTCTAGATTTGAAGCTTTCGTGACTGCAATGATTCATATTCTTAGGTTTTTTCGGTAAAGTCACGTAGGTAAAAAAATATTAATAAAAGTTAAATAAAATACAAATCACGACGTTTCGGAGGCAACACAAGCTTCCGTCTAAAGGTGGAACCGTCACAGCACGATTGCTGTATCACTTGATACACTTGATACAGCTATCGCGCTGTGACGGTTCCACCTGAAGACGGAAGCTTGTGTTGCCTCCGAAACGTCGTGATTTTACTTTTAATAATTAAAATGTCATCTCGGCCAACCCACGGCACCTGCTGGGTCTGTCCCGAGACCTCCTGCACCTAGCCTGGCACAGTAGGGGGTACAGCTGGTGGTGCATCTACCGGTCATCTCGGCCAACCCACGGCACCTGCTGGGTCTGTCCCGAGACCTCCTGCACCTAGCCTGGCACAGTAGGGGGTACAGCTGGTGGTGCATCTACCGGTCATCTCGGCCAACCCATGGCACCTGCTGGGTCTGTCCCGAGACCTCCTGCACCTAGCCTGGCACAGTAGGGGGTACAGCTGGTGGTGCATCTACCAGTCATCTCGGCCAACCCATGGCACCTGCTGGGTCTGTCCCGTGACCTCCTGCACCTAGCCTGGCACAGTAGGGGGTACAGCTGGTGGTGCATCTACCGGTCATCTCGGCCAACCCATGGCACTTTCTGGGTCTATCTCGAGACCTGCTGCACCTAGCCTGGCACAGTAGGGGGTACAGCTGGTGGTGCATCTACTGGGCATCTCAGTCAGCCAACCCATGGCACTTTCTGGGTCTATCTCGAGACCTTCTGCACCTAGCCTGGCACAGTAGGGGGTACAGCTGGTGGTGCATCTACCGGTCATCTCAGTCAGCCAACCCATGGCACTTTCTGGGTCTATCTCGAGACCTGCTGCACCTAGCCTGGCACAGTAGGGGGTACAGCTGGTGGTGCATCTACCGGTCATCTCAGTCAGCCAACCCATGGCATTTGCTGGGTCTATCTGGAGACCTGCTGCACCTCGCCTGACACAGCAGGGGGTACAGCTGGTGGTGCATCTGTCGGTCATCTCAGCCAACCCATGGCACGTGCTGGGTCTATCTCGAGACCTCCTGCACCTAGCCTGGCACAGTAGGGAGTACAGCTGGTGGTGCATCTACCGGTCATCTCAGTCAGCCAACCCATGGCACTTGCTGGGTCTATCTGGAGACCTGCTGCACCTAGCCTGACACAGCAGGGGGTACAGCTGGTGGTGCATCTACCGGTCATCTCAGCCGACCCATGGCACCTGCCGGGTCTGCCCCGAATCCTCCTGTCGGTGAGCCTTTGACTCTTCACGTGGCCTCAAAGTGCACCTGGCCTGGCACAGGCGCCGTGGTGACATCACCGTCACTTCGTGGCGAATGGCGGGGGGTATTGGTATTGGATACAAAACTTCGGGGTGGGCTTCTGGGAAGGATAAAAAAAACATCGCCAAATTCCACCTTTGCTCCGTAGAATTTTGATTGTGCACGTGCACACCGCGCGTCTGCAAATATCGACCTCCTGTGCCAGTGATCTGGGTTCTTGACAGTGACGGATCCAGGCGAGGGGGGGGGGGTTACGGAGAGGGAAGGGGGGTGGTCATCTTTGCGACCCCGAAAAATCTATATTTTACCTATGTTTACCGAAAAAAATACGTTTGGTTTTATAAAATATATTATCGATGGAGGGGTTTACTTAATATTTAAAATGATTGGCATTAACGGAGCGTCCCCTCCCCTGGGATGTTTCTAGATCCACCTCTGGTTAAAAGCCTGGATTTCTCAACACCCACAATAACTCTCACTTTGATCCATGTGAATAACACGGAGAAACACGGATCACGGTGGCAAGATGTTAACTACCTCGCCTTGTGTACAGGAGGTCTGTGGGTTCGGTCCCGACCCCGGCGCCTATATATCTGTAGTTGGCATGTTCTCCCCGTGGTCGCGTGGATTTTTCTCGGGGTCCTCCGGTTTTTCCCACCACATTTAATCAACGTGCGTTTAAAGTGTTTTGCTGCTCTGCATGTCCACATTATAAGCCACTAAGTTGCGCTGTCATTTGTCGCCAGGTCGCTTCTGAAAAAGAGCTACATAGCTCAGTGGACCTTTACCTGATAACAAAAAAAACACATTCCTGCAGAGGGAGCTGGTAGGAACGTTGGGTTGCTCGGTCAATGGCCTGCAGGGTCAACGGCGGCGTGGTGTATTCCGCAAATATGGCCGACTGTGAGGGCGGGCACAAGCCGGCGTGAGTAGGTTAAACGTTGAGTTGTATAAGGGCACCACGGGGTGACCAGCCCCTCCCCACCCAGCCCCCCCCCACCTTCCCCTCCCCACCCAGCCCCTCCCCTCCCCACCCTCCCCACCCAGCCCCTCTCCACCCAGCGATGTTTTTTTATCCTTCCCAGAAACACACCTCGAATTTTTGTATCCAATACCAATATAGATTCACGACGGACGGACGGATACAATAATCCCCTGTGGGCTGGTGTAACCAGGAGGTTCCTACCAGTATAACGTCTCTCGTGTATATTGCCCACTGTCTCTCTAGCTCCCTCTGTCTGCCCTTCTGGTATGTTCCTTCTGTATGGCCGAATCAATGGAAAGCGTTGCTTTGTGTCGAACCAATGCTGACGAAATTACGCACCACCAAAAAGTCGTGTAGCTGATGGGATGCGTAAAATACTTTGACGTCTTCTTGGTTCTTTCGATAAAGTCACGTAGAAGGGAAATAATAAAATAATAAAAATAAAACATAATAAAACAATTTTAATTGGCCTCCCCGTGAGAATTATTTTATTGTTTAATTTTTATTATTTTATTATTTCCCTTCTACGTGACTTTACCGAAAGAACCAAGAAGATGAATCCCTGCAGTCACGAAAGCTTTACATCGAAATTTATACTTTGACGTGTGTTTTTTTTTACCTGGACGGCGAGAGATGTGAAGGAGGCCTCTCTAATTTATTTTGCTACTATGGCATGGAGCATTGTATTATTAGTTTGAGATTTGTATTTCACATTGTGCATTTTTAGCACCCAAATTTAAAGAGAGGATCCTTGGGGGCCGTCCATAAATGACGTCACGCGATTTTGGACGATTTTTGACCCCCCCCCCCTCGTCACACGGCGTCACAGTCAGACCCCCCCTCAAATATGACGTCACAAAGCTCTGCCACCCCCCCCCCCAAAAAATAAAACATGCTTCAAATCGCTTTAAACTATTGTCATTGTAGTGTGTATTTCATGTGGCGCTGCACTCTGATGTTGTAGGAGAAAACATTTATTAAAAAGTCTATTTAATTAAGTAGAACGTGCTTGTCTATATTTATTTAAAGTTGCGCATTTTGATGTGACGTCACATTTCTCACCCCCCCCCTCGTCACACATCGTCACAAATGTCTGACCCCCCCCTAGGTGCGTGACGTCATTTATGGACGGCTCCTTGCCTAAAACATCTGGCAGTTCACCACTGCATGTTGAAACCTGTCAAGATTGTTCTCGTACTGAATCAATGCTGCTGAATTACGCACTCCAGAATAGCCACGGGGAGGCCAATGAGTTGCGTATTCCTTTGCTTATTTAAAGCCATCATCTGCTTATTATTCTACATTTATAGAGCGCCTCTAGCGCAAGGCGCTTTACAGTGTTTAGAAAGCGGTAACACAAATATATGTATCGATTTAAAGCTTTCGTGACTGCAGGGATTCATCTTCTTGGTTCTTTCGGTAAAGTTACGTAGAAGGGAAATAATAAAATAATAAAAATAAAAACTAATAAAATAATTCTCACGACGTTTCGGCCACAACGCAAGCAGCCGTCCTCAGGTGAAGACCAGGTCTGTCGGGGAGACAGCGTCATTCAGAACCAAGAAGACAAATATACGTGATGTGGATGGCAAGGGGCAGTGTGCAAAGGCTGAGGAATGAGTGACCGTAACAGAAGGCACGTGGGGGGGGGGGGGGGGTCACGAAAGGGCTCTAGGGGATGGACTGGAAGGAGCGGTGGATCAAGGAGCGGGAAGAGGAAGAAGCAACGGAGAAGAGGTGAGGCTTTGAGATAGGAACGAAAGGATGGTCACCACGATATGCTCATTATTATTTTGAGTTGAGAATAACGGGCCTGGACCAGGAGTGTCGGCAGAAGGGGACGATGGTCACGGGTAATGACGCAGCAGCAGCGAAGGTTGCCGACGCCAGGAATGCTTGAGCGACGAAATCAGTTCGTGTGCAGCAGGTGCCGGATGGATGATTGTGACATCGCGGGGCTTGGGGAAGCCTTCATCCAGCAGTGGATTGACCACGGACGACGATGACATTCTGGACAGACCGACACGTGGACAGCGCCCCACGCTCTTCCCCTAGCGAGCATTTAATTCAAGTAGAAACACACAATAATTTAGCGCTTTTTAGCACACACAATTCATGGCACACGCAGGCGGATGTCCCGACGAGAGCCGCTTTGCATACATTGGAAACAAGGACGTTATTTCTCTAACACACTCGTTCGTACAAAAGAAAGCATATATATAAAAAAAGGTAACATGGCACTCGCAAAATATTACTGTGTCAATACGCATTGTACATGCACAATCAAATCACCGGACCTCAGACGCACTCTCCAGTCCGACTTTGCCCTGTCCGACTGTCGGTGTACACAAGCATGGACACCGTCAAATTAACCACGTGTAGCTGCGGGTACCTGGCCACGTGCAGCTGCGTGTCCCTGGCCACCCCATCAAAACGAAATGGGCCACAGAATACGAATGAATGGCCATTGGCCCAAAATTTTACTTACCGGTACCGACCAGCCAAGGTGGCAAATGGTGATAATTATTTTCTTGTAGTTTTAGGTCAGTGGTTCTTAACCTTTACCGCAGCCTGCACACCCCCTTTGGTTCTCAATCGTGAACAAATGAATAGATTTAATAAATCTATGGTTTGATGAAACAAAGTAGTTGTATTTACGAGCCCGTGCTTAATTTGTGTTTTCGATTATTTACCTTTTAAATTAATCTGGCCATGTCTAGCACCCCCAGAAAGGGCATCTCGCACCGCAGGTTAAGAACCATGGCGCTAGATCACAACGATGTATTACAGCAACGTCTCTGTGGTGGATACTTTTGAGAAAAATGTCATTAAAGAAGGCCACCGTATATATGACAATAGATATTTTTGGAAGAAACAAAACGAATGTGATATGAAAAATATATGGAATGTGGAAATAAATATCACGTGTGTGTATAAAATGGACGGTATATAAACTCAGCCTTCTGCTCATGGTCGGACACTTCCCATGGCGGATACTGGAAGCATTTGCCACCCCAGGTGATACCAACCAAACCACCATTGCTCGTGACCTAATACTACCGCGTGAGTTTTCGCAGTTGTGCTGTATAGCTCTGTTTAAGAATCACGTGGGGTGTTTCATGACGATGATGATGACAACGATGACCAATGGGACTCCAAAACGATGGCATAGACTCAGTCGTTTCATGTGGACTACCCGTGCCAGCTTACACGGAATCACGTCGGATAATCCAAGATTTCTACATTAATGCATTGTTCTGTTGAGTGCACACACAGTCGCCAATACACGTTTGGATATTAGCGTTTTAATGACTGTGGTTATCACTATTAATATAGACATTAGTACCCTGTCGTAAGAATGATTTCCTTGCTGGGATCACGGCTGGGACCACTTCAAGCAGGGCTGGGGAAGCGAATCTGGCCTGCGACTTTATTTCGCATGGCCACTGCGACCACACTTGGTCTACCTCGTAGGCCCAGTGTGGTCGTAGGCCTACCCCGTAGGCCCAGTGTGGTCGTAGGCCTACCCCATAGGCCCAGTGTGGTCGTAGGCCTACCCCGTAGGCCCAGTGTGGTCGTAGGCCTACCTCGTAGGAGGCCTCGCAGCAACGGCTTTTTGGCTCGGCCATCGAACAAAGACGGTAACCGCATCGCACGGTGCTTGCGGATGCTCTTCTACGGCCGTATGGAACGCTCTTCCGGTGTTAGGAAGCCACTGGAGCTATGCACTTGTAAATCATCATTTAGATTTAATACAAATTTCTTTAAAACTGCTTTTTGTGTTTAGTTTGTCGTCCTTTCCGCCGCTCCTCTGATTAGCGCGGTTGGCTACGTGCAGAGCGAAAGAGGCTCAACGCACATACTGCTGCTTCGGAGCGGCCCACAAACGACATTTGTAACCGTCGCTGCGAGCGTCTTAGCGGCGCTCAGCGGGCACCGGAGGGGGAACATCGTGGACCTGGCAACTCTGTGTTTATACATTGAGCGCATTTGTTCACTTTCACCACTGCGAGGGCCTCGTCATACTCAGCCGACGCGTGCGACACTTTTCACGGTCTTGCCGGATAGCGCCGCGGTGTGCGCTCGTTAACGTCTGGGGGTTGCCCGCCAAAGGTTTTTCAAAGTAGCGTTCGGCCCTCGGTAAGGTAAAAGGTTCCCCACCCCCCCGAATTAAAGGAAGACGCGACTCAAACAACAGCTCTACGGTCCACTCCGTTCACCTGAATGCAACAATAATAATGATAGTAATGATGATGACGACACATCATTTGTAAAAAACTTCTCAAACTTGCACTTCTCACTTTCACGATTTGATGCGTATATCATGAGCGCAAGAATCGATCGTAACCGGTGAACCGATTCATCGTCACGTGCGGGGTCGCCACCCTCCCCACCCTGCCAGTGGCACAGTGCGGTTGGCACAGTGCGGTTGGCATGGGCCCTCAAGGAATGACACGGGGCCCACCGCCGGCTTCCTGAGCCTGTCTGGCCCATGGGCCCCGATGCAATTGCACCGCCTGCACACCCGATAGCTACGCCGCCCGCAACCCCCGCCCCTCCCGGAAGGCCGCCTCCCGACCTCACACCCTGCGCACGCCGCCACCGCCGGGCCCTGGGTAGGCCCGGGGGCTTGTGGGACGTCCGCGGGGCTGCAGGCCTCGTGCCGGAGAGGCCGGCGGGGCAGCGTGCGTAGACGGTGCCGGCGAGGCGGCGCTGGCACCGCCGCCGCCACCGCCGCGGTCACGCACGCGCACGAGGCCCGTGGGGTAGCGAGTCTCCTGGCGGCCGCCGGCCCACAGCGTGGTGACCATCCCGTCGGGGTACTCGCGGCGCTTGTACTGCGCCGTGTGCACCTCTCGCTGCCCGTTGGCGAACTCGATCACCTTCTCGCCGTTCCTGCGTCGTCGTCGTAGTCGTCGTCGTCGTAGTCATCGTCGTGTGGTCGTACACCGGGTTAGTGGCAGACCTCAGGTGTCAGGCCGGGTGTGTGTCACACTGGCTTCGTATTACACCGAGTTAGTAGCACTGCTAGGAAAGTTAACACATTGATTGTAACACGTACAATTATTCGTGCCCCCCATGTGTGTGTCACACTAGGAAAGTGAACATACTGAATGCAACACGAGGTGTGTGTCACACTAGGAAAGTGAACATCCTGAATACAACACGAGGTGTGTGTCACACTAGGAAAGTGAACATACTGAATGCAACACGAGGTGTGTGTCACACTAAGAAAGTGAACATACTGAATGCAACACGAGGGGTGTGTCACGCTGGGTGTGTGTCACGCTGGGTGTGTGTCCCGCTGGGTGTGTGTCACGCTGGGTGGGTGACACACCAGGAAGGTAGCACGCTGACCGCATCACGAGCTCGCTGGGTGTTGTGCCGGGCGAGTGTCGTGCCGGGGTGGTACCTGGCGGTGCGCACGCGAGTGCCGTCGGGGTAGCGGCTCTCTTCGTGTCCGTCCCGGTGGATGAGTCGCTCCATCCCGTCCGGGAACACGATCTCCTTGCGACCGTCAACGTGCTGGGTTTCTGTAAAGACAGCGCGCGGGCACAGCGCGGCACGGGTAGTGACGATCTCAAGGAGCATAAACCCTCGCGCAAACTCCGGGCATCCTCGAAAAAAGACGGTGGTCACCGCATCGCGGCCCTTCAGATGCGCTTCTGCGGCCGTCTGGAACGCTCTTCCTTCAGATATTAGGAAGCTACTGGAGCTATGCACTTTGAAATAATCTAGATTGAAACTCATTTGTTAGAACTGCTTTAAGTGTTTAGTTTGTTGTCCTTCCCCCGCACCTCCGATTATGAGCACGGTTGGCTACGTACGGTGCGACAGAAGTTCAACAAACGTACAAAAGCAAAGTTCCCCACGTATAGCCTGCACAGATCGGTTAGGGGCAAGTTCTGTTCGCGAGCACCTATTGAGGCCGGCACGGCGCACGAGGGAGCGGTGTGGTCAGGAGCCACCCCCGGCCTTCTTTATCTCCCCAGAGCTGTAGTCAACACTGCCCCAGATGCTCATTTAAAGCTGAGTCAACCTAGGCGAGGCCTAATGCTAGGCCACAAATGCTCGGCGTCACCGGGAATCAAGCTGAAGCGCGCCGGGGGGGGGGGGAGGGTTCATAACGCGGCTCGCTAACCACAGCGCCACCGCTCGGCAGTCCGCACACACACGCGGTAGTACAGCGTGGTAGTGCGTTGCCGTGGTGTCGCCCCCCCCCCCCCGCGCTACCGTGGTGTCCACACCCTCGTTCGTTACCTGTCTGCCCGCTGGGGAAGCGCACGTGCTGAGTGCCGTCGGGGTACGTTGTGTGCGTCACCCGTGACTCCGCATAGTAGTAGACCTGGAAGGGAGCGAGACGGAGAGAGAGATTGAGCGACAGGTCATGAAAGTCACATGACACGGGCCTTATTCGGCATCTCTCAGATAACTGGACCATCACACCCTGCTCATCTACACGGGGGCAGCCATTCAAACACAAATGTACCCAGCACCTGCCTCACTATTATTATCATCAACATCCAATAGATGCCAGTAAAGTAGTGTAACCACAGCTGCACTGTCACTCGGCTCAAATAAACAAGAGGGCAATGATGCTCACTCGTGGTCCCAAGCCACCATCATCGTCGTCAATCAATAACCGCTGCCATAAACATTAATTATCGTCATCAACCATCATCGGTGTGTCCCCGTTTCCGGGAATTTCCAGGCATCGCCGGGATCGGGTGGCAGCCAAACATCGCTCCACGCCTTCATATTTTCCCATCCCTGTGTGCCTCCATCACTTTCCAGTCTCCTGCCACTCGGTCGACTGCCCTTCCAAACCCCAGCGTCATTGAACATCATGGTAGAACCGGTCTCCTCCATCTGCTTCTCGTGTCCAAACCGCTCAAGTCTCAAGCAGTGCGCCCCTTCTGCTCCTACACCCTCTCTCTCGACTTGTTGATCTCCTCTCACTCGCTCTCCTATCCCACCTTCTTTTGCCCACCATGCCTCTGACAAAGCAGCGATGAGAGGCACAGGGACAGATGCAAGAATGAAGCCGCGATTACACACAAAACTCCGGAACTGGTATTGGCAGCAGCGCGCAACACAAACACCCCAAAAAACTCGCCATGTTACTGTAATAACACTTTCATCTTATATAGCAGCGTCATTCGTGCCAACAGCATCTCACAATGCTGTGCATTAATTATATAATAATTTCATTTCATAGAGTGTCATTCATGCAATTGCATCCCACACCGCTGCACATCAATTATCCAGTATCCGTATGCAAATATAAAAACAAGAAAATATAATCGTAGATAAAATAAAAAATAAATCCGTTCGGTCTCCATACCCCAGACCACAATCCCAACATTTCGCCGGATTTTGATTATTCCAGGAGGGGTGGTGGAGTGTCCAAAAAGTTACGAGCCAGATATACAAAAACCAAATCCCATACACACGCGGTTGGCTACGTATGGCAGTAACACGCACACACACAGTACAATCAGCTGGCCGATTTGGACGAGCCATCGATGGAAAATTCCACATTCCCGTGGCGGGCGGCTGCCACGGAAAGCGGCCCCTCCCGTGAGCGCCTCTCCCGGCCGCCCCCCCTCCCGGCTGCCCCCCCTCCCGGCCGCCCCTCCTCCCGGCCGCCCCTCCTCCCGGTTGCCCCCCCTCCCGGCCGCCCCCCCTCCCGGCCGCCCCCCCTCCCGGCCGCCCCCCCTCCCGGCCGCCCCCCCTCCCGGCCGCCCCCCCTCCCGGTTGCCCCCCCTCCCGGCCGCCCCCCCTCCCGGCCGCCCCCCCTCCCGGCCGCCCCCCCTCCCGGCCGCCCCCCTCCCGGCCGCCCCCCCTCCCGGCCGCCCCCCCTCCCGGCCGCCCCCCCTCCCGGCCGCCCCCCCTCCCGGTTGCCCCCCCTCCCGGCCGCCCCCCCTCCCGGCCGCCCCTCCTCCCGGCCGCCCCTCCTCCCGGTTGCCCCCCCTCCCGGTTGCCCCCCCTCCCGGCCGCCCCCCCTCCCGGCCGCCCCCCCTCCCGGCCGCCCCCCCTCCCGGCCGCCCCCCCTCCCGGCCGCCCCCCCTCCCGGTTGCCCCCCCTCCCGGTTGCCCCCCCTCCCGGCCGCCCCCCCTCCCGGCCGCCCCCCCTCCCGGCCGCCCCCCCTCCCGGCCGCCCCCCCTCCCGGCCGCCCCCCCTCTCGGCAACGGAGCGCTCACCACGCGCTGGTCGTCGGTGGTTTTCTTGACGTCGCCGTTGGGGAACGCGACGGTCACCGTGTGGCCGTCCGCGCTCACTTCCTTGCGGGTGCCGTTGCGGAACTGCACCATGCGCCGGCCGCTCCGCAGCACCATTTCCACCTGCCGGGGGGGGTCACGCGGGGGGGGGGGGGGGGGGGGGTCACGCGGGGGGAGGGTGGGGTCACGCGGGCGAGGGGGGTCACGCGGGAGGACACACGGGGGGACACATGGGGGTGTACGGGGACACAAAGATAAAGATCCCCTGTATAGCCTTAACAGACTGTAGGGGCAAGTGTTGTTAGCGAGCACCTATGAAGGCCGGAACGGCACACGAGGGGGTGGGTGGCCAGCACCACGCCCGACCGCCTTTGTCTCCCCAGTGGCGATGTTTACACACCGCACCAGGTACTCATTTAAGGCTGAGTCGACCTAGGGGAGGCCCAGGACCGGTTCAGATAATCGTCACTGGTGTTGGCCGTGAGCGGGAATCGAACCCGTGTCGCCAGGATCATAGCGCAGCGTAGCGCTAACCGCTACACTACCGCTCCACACATGGGAACACACATGGACACACAAGTTTCGATAGGGAGACGCAGAGATGCGGTCACAGAGAGCTCGCTAATAGAGGCACGGCCAGTAAGCGCGTCGCGTGTCACGAGCCAGACGGTTTGGTTCGTCAGAATTTTGTGCCACGATGTGATTCAAGAACCGATTTATTTTTTGGTACAATTAGTACATCTCGTGATTATCGTCTCAAACCTCCCGTCTCGTTCTTTTTTTTATCTCCCCATCTTTATTATTTCGGTAGCATTACGGCTTAAAATAATTACGCGGAAAAATGTTCTTGTAAACGTGCACGGGTTGTAAACGACCGGTGATCTTGACGCGCGCGGTTCGATGTGCGCGTTACGTGTCACATGATACAAATAACTTCCAGGAGGAAAATACAACGGTCGGCGAGTCGTTAACCCCATCGCATGCCCGAGAGCCACACCGAGTTTACAAACGTTTACAAACTTGCACCCAACAACGGCAACAACAAAAAAGCACACGGACGCTCGCATGCCAGCACGCGCATTTACCAAGTGCATCCACATGCAAGGAAGTCACAACGTGCACTATATAAATATCTCACATGTCCAGATGCAAGCACGGCCACCACGCCAAAGCTTACACGTTTTACAAAATGCACGCATGCAAAAATAAATGGCAGCTGTACCCAACGAGCAGGTTCACAAAGAGCAACGTGCAATGAGTCATGGCAACGTGCACTTTTACAAAGTGCCCCGTTCAACCTGCGCTTCTCTACGGAGCCGAGGGCTGGACTTTGCAAGCCGAAGACGAGCGGAGGTGAGCAGAGTCGTGGTTCCACCATCGGCTGTTGAGAATTCCATGGACGGGAAAAAATATAGAAACACGTGCCATTATCCTTCAGGAGCTTCATGTGGAGAGAGAGAGGGAGATTTACACTATGAGACATCTCCTTTACCAGTGGCAAAACATAGTAGTATGTTTTTACCCTTTCAACTGGTACAAAAACTGACACCTTTATACAAGGCATCATGTTTGCAATAACCACAACACAAGCAGTCAAAATGCAAACAAAAAGAATCAACTCTGATAATGATAATGATAAGCACTGTCCTTGAAGTTGATTGGTCCACACCAATGGCGTACAACCTTGTACGCCTTTTGGCGTCATCTGGTCCAACACCAATGGAGACTAGGCTCTAAGAAAAGCTGTCTCGGGTGTGGACCAATCAATTTCAAGGACAGTGCATATCATCAGAGTTGTTTCTTTTTGTTTGCATTTTGACTGCTTGTGTTGTGGTTATTGCAAACATGATGCCTTGTATAAAGGTGCCAGTTTTTGTACCAATTGAAAGGCTAAAAACATACTACTAGAGAGAGAGCTTTTAGGAAGAATGGTCAGATGCCAGTGTCTTTCAAGCACTTCACGTGGCAAGAGAGTTTCTAGCAAAAGTGGTCAGATGCCAGCATCGTCCAGGACCTTAGAGGTTCCGGTAAGAGTTGACGGAGCGAAGACGCGTTTAATCGCGAGCAATGCTGGCGGCCGGACACCGATTGCGATCGAAGGTGCGGCTGTTAACGGGGTGGAGGGGGGCGCGGTGAGGCGATGCGAGAGAGCGAACGACTGGCGGGGAGCGAGTCCCAGCCGAAGCGAAGCGCAGAAGTGGCCGGAGACAGCGAGCGCCTGCAATCTGGTTCCCGGAGCATCCACGACCTTGAACCGATCAACTCTAACATTTGTAACAGGCCGTCGCGTGAAGTTGAGCCCCGCTACAAAATGATACAATGGACAGGCGAGTCCTCTTGTATGGGGTGAGGTTTGGAAGAGGGTGAGGGCCAACCTGCCCACTCTGTTGTCCGAACTCGGGGAGTGGTGAGGGTCAGGCGAGGTGTGAGCTGACTGGCGAATGCCGTCGGGTGAAGCGGTGGTTGCGTGACGAGGGTTAGGCGAGTGTGTCACGTGACCCTGTCTGCAGGACGGGCTGCCCACTCGTACTGCATGATGTGCACGTGCAGTGTACAGGGTGTTTCAAAAAGATGGACCCAATTTCAAAGATATAGCGATTTCAAATCGGGTCCATCTTTTAAAAACACCCCGTATATATACGTTGAGGTCATCCACCCGGTTTCTTTTACACGTAATAACTCACTCCTGATACTTTTGTACGATAGTATAACGTTTCCACGCATGGCCGGGCATTACATTTAATAATTCATTTGCTTCAGTCACTGAATCCACCCACTCGCAACAGACCCCGACTTTCTGGACGGTGAGCTTTGTGGGTTATCAAGTGTATTTTTCCCGTGACAACTGCATTATTATTGTTTTACAAGTTGTACATGGAGTATGCACGTGAGACACTTTTTGTTAATCCACTGCTGGATGAGCCCTCTCCACCACTCTGCGGGGTTATGTAACCATACTTCATCACGCGGGTCGGTGCGGGCTGGTTAATGCGGGGGAGAGAAAATAGCTACGGTACATTTTGACTTAAAACTTTCGTGACTGCAGGAATGAATATTCTTGGTTCTTTCGGTAGAGTCACGTGATAGAAATGTTTTTATTTTTATTAAAATGTAAAAATAATAAATTGAAGATAATAAAAACGTTGAAATTTTATTAAAATCTTTTTTTTTTAATTTCTATCTACGTGACTTTACCGAAAGAACCTAGAATATGGGCTACAGTACAGAGAAACAATGGGCTTTTCCTGCCATGCCATCTGCGCTGACTATGTCGCCCCACAGCAGCCTGTAACAACCTGCTGTGCATGGTGGTCGCCCATCCGAGCACTTATCCAGGCCCCAAAAACCACTGCTTAGCTTCTTGAGATCTGACGAGACTGGGCACATTCCACGTGAGTTGACATAACTGGCGAATTTCGATTTAAAGCTTTCGTGACTGCAGGGATTCATCTTCTTGGTTCTTTCGGTAAAGTCACGTAGAAGGGAAGTAATAAAATAATAAAAATAAAACATAATAAAACAATTCTCACGACGTTTCGGCCACAACGCAAGCAGCCGTCCTCAGGTGAAAACCAGGTCCGTCGAGGCGACAGAGTCTGAATGAAACAGCACACGAGCTTGGAGCATATATATAAGCTGGGCGCATTGACAAAGGAATTTGCATATCAAAGGGAATTTAGCATATTTATGGGAAATGCAGAAATGTGATTAGTACTGCATATGCATGTGCATTATGCAGGATTAACAGCATCAAAGGGAGCTGCAGTTACTGCTGCTGCAGCAGTTGCTGCTGCTGCTGCAGTTTCTGCTGCTGCTGCAGTTGCTGCTGCTGCAGTTGCTGCTGCTGCTGCACTTGCTGCTGCTGCTGCACTTGCTGCTGCTGCTGCTGCACTTGCTGCTGCTGCTGCAGTTGCTGCCTTATCCATTTTAATATAACACTATGTATTATTCTACCCACCCTAATGTGTATCATACTGCTATATGTTTACTGCACAATTACGACACCATACATTACTCTGCACACTGCACCATGCCAGTGAGTGGAACGTGGTCTGAAAGTCACCGTAAACGTGAACACAATCAGTTAAGATCCGAAATGGTTTATTACGTCCTTCCAATGATTGCTAAGCCAGAATCCATCTTCTCGGTTGAAATTGTCTCTGTGTTTGTATATGTGGATCGCCTCATGAACGAATCTCTCATGATAGCCAGATGGCTTGCAGAGAACCTCTGTCTTGGAGAAGTCAATGTCATGTGAGCCCACTGAATTGTAACAGTGATCTGCCACGGCTGAGGTGTTTGTCCTACCGTGTTTCAGGTCTGCCTTATGTTCACGGATGCGGTCCGAGACATGTCGTTTGGTTTCTCCAATGTAACTGCTACCACAGAGGAAACTTAGTTTGTAGACGCCAGGGTACTGTATGTCTGGAACCACATCTTTTACAGACGGGACCAGATCACGGATTTTATGTACTGTGTTGAATCGGACCTGGATCTTGTGTTTAATCAGGATTTTGGAGATCTTTTTTGTGACCCCAGCAATGTAGGGTAAGGTGATGGTCTTGAAAGGCTCCTCAACAGGATCCTTCTTGATGGTTGGAGTGATGGCTTTGCGGATTGTGTAGTCGGAGTAACCATTAGCCTTAAGAGCTTGGCGTACGTGTTTGAGTTCACTGGAAATGTGTTCATGGTCGGAGATGCATTGGGCTCTATGATATAGAGTCTTGATGAGGGAATTCTTCTGGGATGGATGGTGGTGGGAATCCGGTTTTAGATAAGCATCCACACGGATGCTTATCTAAAGCAGCAGCAACTGCAGCAGCAGCAGAAACTGCAGCAGCAGCAGCAACTGCTGCAGCAGCAGTAACTGCAGCTCCCTTTGATGCTGTTAATCCTGCATAATGCACATGCATATGCAGTACTAATCACATTCCTGCATTTCCCATAAATATGCTAAATTCCTTTTGATATGCAAATTCCTTTGTCAATGCGCCCAGCTTATATATATGCTCCAAGCTCGTGTGCTGTTTCATTCAGACTCTGTCGCCTCGACGGACCTGGTTTTCACCTGAGGACGGCTGCTTGCGTTGTGGCCGAAACGTCGTGAGAATTGTTTTATTATGTTTTATTTTTATTATTTTATTACTTCCCTTCTACGTGACTTCACCGAAAGAACCAAGAAGATAACTGGCGAACTCGCCCCCCGACTGGAACATCTGCGATAAGAGAGAGTCATAGCGCATCGGATTCCTCCCCCAGTGCGAAATAAAGATTCAGATTAGTTACAAAGTGATTCCCCTGGGCACTAGACCATCACAGCTTTTATGCTGCTTATCTGTGCGTGTGCAACTCAGCCCCCTCGTTGGCACAGTAGGGGGCACATGATGGTGCATCGGCCAGTCGTCTCAGTCAGTCATCCCATGGCACCTGCTCGGTCTGTCCCGTGACCTTCTGCCGGCGGGCTTTCCGACACTTCACGTGGCGGCCTTAACGTGCACATAGCCTGGCACAAGCACCGTGGTGACGTCGCTGCCACTTAGTGGCGAATGGCGGTTGTTGTTGTTGCAGCCCAGCTGTTACTTGCTCTAGCCACTGCTGCTTGGGGTGTGTTCGCCACTCTGGAGTGTGCACACACCGGGTAAGACGTCTCCAAAGGGGTGGCAGTAACTCACACTTTACCCCACCGCGTGCCACCTGCCAGTCGGCTCATCGCTGGCGGAGCAACGTTACGCTGCTTGTCGGAACAGAGGCAAGAGGGAGGGAGCGGTGTGGATTTAAGAGTGAAGCAACTTGCGCCGTTTGTTTCAACTGCCACTCCGGGGCATTGAATGGAACCGGCGACCCCTGAGATTTCACGTGCGGTGTTGCCGACCTCTCAACCATTGCGCCGCTGCAGCGTGGCGTTGCGTTTCTAAGAGAATGCGCAGCTCAATTTTAAAATATTTTCCATGCTCTAATAATACATTTCCATAAAAAAAAAATTATTTGAATGTTTTGATTGAAAATAAATAAATATCCTGCATATTATAGTATGAACTGAACGCCGCAGGAATTACCGTTGGGTACAGGACTAACTACCGGCGTGTGCCACGTCTCCGCGCCATGTGGACGTGCAGCAGCTGCCTGCAAGTCGGCGTGGCTCTGCACTCTGTTCAATATCGGAGCTTTGGGAGTGCGATTTTAATATCCGTGGTTTTTTTTTCCTTAAATTTGCATGGAACACCCCGCCCACCACCCCTCCCCACCCCTCCACCCCCCACCACCGCAATATAACCGTTGTTATATAGAGAACACGGTTTACCCGCTCAAGGTATTGCGAGGACTTTACTCGCCGTGCGAAAGCCGGCCGACTGAACGAGCGGTACGTGCGCGATGCGTACGTACGCACGCGCGCTCACACGCGCTTTGGCCACGCACCTTCCCGTCCGGATACAGGATCTCTTGCTGGATATCGTCGTCGGCCTCTCGGTCGTCGTGGAACGCAACCCCTCCCAAATGCGCCGATTCCAGACGGTGGGCAGGCTGCGTCACAAAAAAAGGGGCAAAGGTCAAGGCGAAGACTTTCCACGGACGGCTGGGTCATGTGACGTTTGCGAGCACCAACGAAGGCTGGCACGGCGCACTTATCGACTACCCGAAGTGGGGGAATATTTTCGAGCTGGCAACAACACCGCTTCTGATTGTCAGTCGGTCACATCTGCCACTGTGGTAAACGTGAACCCCTGTTTGTACTTGTGGTTGTTCGTCAAAAGGTGTCGTCTGAAAAATCCTTTTCGGCCCTAAGCAAGGAAGATTTCGCCCGCCTTGGAGACTTTTAGTGACAGAGACAAAGATCTCGCGGTATCGCCATTAACAGGCTGTTGGGACAAGTGCTGTTAGCAAGCACCAATGTTAGGCCGCACACTTACACAAAGAGCAAGGCAACGCCGTACAGTCTTACATATTGCTGCGGCAAACACAACATACGCGCACAGCACTAACCACACTCTCACCACACCTCACGGCCCCCCACTCACGCTGACCATCAGCTCCAGTGGCGTCCGCGCTCGCTGAGCCCCGGCGGCCACGATCGTCCCCGTGGGAGCGGCGGGCACGGGGGTGCGGGGCGCGGTCACGCGCGGGCCCGGCGAGGATCCACGCGCTCCGACCCCGGGGGCTGCCCGGGCCTCGCCGCCGGGTTTCGGGGTCTTGGATCGGCGCGCCCGGTCCGGCGCGAACGTCACGGCGGTGGGCGACGGGACGGCCCCCGAGCGCTGCCACGCAAGCTCTGGGTCCCCGTGGGGACCGGCTGCCGGGCGGTGCCGCTCCGGCGCCGGCGAGGGCGAGGCCCGGTTGGGGGCCGGCGCGCCGCCGGGCCGCTGCGCTCCCCCGGCGCGCGAGGGCCCCCCACCGAGGCCGTTGTGGCGGCTCGAGGCGGCCGCCTCCCCGTGAAGGCGCGCGGACGGCGTCTCGGGGTTGGGCGTCTTGGAGCGGGGAACGGCGTCCGCGGCGCGCCGCCCGCCGCCGGCCGTGGGGTTCGGCGTCTTGGAGCGGTGGCCGCGGCCCGAGAAAGGGCCGGGGTCGAAGCCGGGGTCGGCATCGCGGTAGAAGAGGTCGTGGCCCGGCCGCGTCGCCCGCACCGGCGTCTTGGGCCGCGACTCGGCGCCCGGGGGAGGCTCGGCGGCGTGCGCCGGCTCCGACAGCGAACGGGGGCCGCCGGCGAAGGCGTTTCCCCGCGTCGGGGGTAGCTGCTCGCCCCACCGGTCGACGCTCGCCGGTACGGGGCCCCGCCAGTCGGCGGCCCGGCCGCCGCGTGGGGCGGCGTCGACGTCGGGGCCGTCGGCGGGGACGGGCGGCCTCGGCAGCGTGGGGGTCTTGCTACGGGCGGTGGGCCAGCGCGGCGCCAGCGCGGCCGCTCTGTCGCTCGGCTCCTCCTTGTAGAGGAGGCGTGGGCGTGTGGCGGCAGTCGGGAGAGTTCCGTGGCGGAGCTCTGTGCCTGGACCAGCTCTCATCTTGTCCACGTGCCGGGCTGTCTCTAGGCGTGGGCTCAAGGGCTGCACTCCACGGTGGAGCTCCATGCCTGGCCCTGATGTTGTCACATCTACATGTCGGGCTGCCTCTTGGTGTGGACTAAACGGCCGGGCTCCACGATGGAGCTCCATGCCTGGCCCAGCTGTTGTTTTGTCCACATGTCGGGCTGCCTCTTGGTGTGGACTAAACGGCCGGGCTCCACGATGGAGCTCCATGCCTGGCCCAGCTGTTGTTTTGTCCACATGGCGGGCTGCCTCTTGGTGCGGACTAAATGGCCGGGCTCCACGATGGAGCTCCATGCCTGGCCCAGCTGTTGTTTTGTCCACATGTCGGGCTGCCTCTTGGTGTGGACTCAGTGCCCGGGCTCCACGGTGGAGCTCTGCCTTGGGACCCTCCCAGTGCCGCTCCTTCTGCTTCACAGCCTGTTGCAGCTCCCACAGCTGACGTTTTAACCTCTAAAAATGTCAACACCAGAGTCAGATTATCATCAATAATATTACCACTGCCATCGTTACAATTGCCACAATCCTCATCGTTAGCATTATTGTGACCAATCATCAACTTAAAACGAAATTATTATCGGTATCGCATTATCAACGAGTGCCACAATTAACACCTAAATACATCAGGTGTTAATTGTCATCGTCGGCATCACAATCATAAACACGCTCATTAACGTGATCATCATCAACGTGAACTCCATCGGTACCCACGCAGGATGCCCGTGAAATAAAAGCCAAAAGCTCATTGGAGCCCTTCCTGCCCAGTGTCACCATCTATTTACCAGAGATCGGCCACTGCACCCGGCCACCGCTGAGAAATAATACATTCTAAAAATGAATTATAGCAACCAAACACAGACACGCTGCACCACAGGATCAACCAGGCAGGTGATGACTCAACCTCGCAACTGCCTCCATGTCCTCTTTGGTTTTTTCGGTAAAGTCATGTAGGTAAAAAATCTAATAAATTAAATCACGACGTTTCGGAGGCAACACAAGCCTCCGTCCTCAGGTGGCACCGTCACAGCAACGTCGCGATTTAATTAATTTGTTTTCTTTTTTAACCTACGTGACTTTACCGAAAAAAACCAAAGAGTATGGACCCTTGCAGTCACGAAAACTTCAAATCTAGCTTAGAGACACTTATGCACTGTGCCATTTGAAGCTGCGGTGTGTACAACATTGACTGGCACGCGTCGTGACGGGCACCGCAAGATCTGACCATATCCGTCCAAGTACTTGCTGAGCAGCTTTTGGCTTCCCGTTGCTGAACGAATGCATCATAAGGTCGTGCTGATTGCGCACAAAGTGCAGCCACGAAAACTTCAAATCTAGAATGTCTCCATGTCCTTGGCAGCAGCATCAGTTGGCTTGCACAGCTGTGGGGCCCATTGTGTTGATCCACGGTGACTTCCGCGTACGGCCTACGTCCCCCGGGCCCATGCTCCACTTCACCTGAATCTCCTCCCACTCGGCCGAGCGCTGCTCCTCCTGGCTCGCGGGGCCACCGGGGGCTCCCAGCCCCCCGTGGCTGCTCCCCGCACCCTCCAGGGCGGAGGCCGGAAGCTTGAGGTCCCTCCTGTCCACAAGTCCGTAGGCCCCCTCCTGCCTTCTCGCGGCACACCGGACACATGGGACGTGGGTCGTGGGACACGACACGAGGAGTAAAGATCATGCGACACGGAACACGCGTCACGGAACACGCGTCACGGGACATGAGTCACGGGACATGAGTCACGGGACATGGGACGTGTCGTGGCGACGTGGACGCACAAGACACGAAATGCGGGACACTGGACATGGTATACAGGGCACGGAACGTGGGACGCAAGATGCAGTGAAACGGCGGCTATGGGACACGAGACATTAAAGACTGGTGAATGGATCAGGTGAATGGGACGTGACACGTGGCCAGGGCACGCGGAACGCAGGGACGTGAACTCGCGACCCGAGGACTGAGAGGGCCCGCTCTCCAACCACCGTCGCCACCATAATCGCCGCGTCACTTTCACGCCACCTCGCCTTGTACACCCACAGCCCTTGTTCCATCTACTGCTGGATGTGGGTTCAATCCCGACCTTGACGCCTGCTGCTGTATATTTAGAGTTTGCGTGTCTCTCTCTCTCTCCCCGTGGTCGCGTGGATTTTTCTCCGTGTACTCCGGTTTTCCCTTCACATTTAGAATCAACGTCACCACGCGTTTAAAGTTATTTGGCTACCATAAGCCACTTCGGTGAGGCATCATTTCTGGCCAGTTTTTTTTTCCGTAAAGAGCTACATAGCTCAGTGGGCCTTATCGTGTAAAATAAAAAATAGTTTAAATTAAAAAAAACATGCTTCAAATCGCTTTAAACTATTGTCATTGTAGTGCGTATTTAATGTGGCGCTGCACTCTGATGTTGTAGAAAACATTTATTAAAAGTCTATTTAATTAAGTAGAACGTGTTGTCTATATTTATTTAAAGTTGCTCATTTTGATGTGACGTTACATTTCTCAACCCCCACCCCCTCGTCACACATCGTCACAAATGTCTGACCCCCACCCCGCACCACCTAGGTGCGTGACGTCATTTATGGACGGCTCCCAAGTGCTGAAACCTGTAATAGGGCGGTCAAAGCAGTGGCAACTCCACGTTCACGCGGCTGCACCTGGAGGGCCTGCTTCACATTGGGTCGCCATGGCGACCGCTGTTGGCGATGGGAGGAGCGGCTGGACCTCGTTTCTTTCTGCAACAACTCCACGACAAAAACAAATCTGTGGGATTTCACCGCACGGCCTCTGGCGAGAGCACCGCCTTGCCTCGACCGATTCGCTCTCGAGCAGATGGGGGGGGGGGGGGGGGGGCTTTGGGTTTCGTGTTTTGTACTCCGGCACAAAGATTCCAGTTTGCCTTCAATCACGCGAACCCCCCCCCCCCCACCGGCTCTCCTCCCCCCCGTCTCTGCCCCCCTCCCCCCGCCCCTCCCCCCCCGCCCCTCCCCTCCTTGCTCTCCTGCGAGCAGCCGTCACGCCACGACCGCGTCGGACGCATCGCGATGCCGACCCCACCACCCCCACCACCAACACCACCACCACCCCCCATTACCACCACCAACACCCCCACCACCACCACCTCCACCACCCCCACCACCCCCACCACCACCATCACCACCACCCCCACCACCCCCACCACCACCACCTCCACCACCACCACCACCACCACCCCCACCACCACCACCACCACCACCTCCACCACCACCACCACCACCCCCACCACCACCACCACCACCACCCCCCACCACCACCACCACCTCCACCACCTCCACCACCCCCACCACCACCACCACCCCCACCACCACCCCCCACCTCCACCACCTCCACCACCACCCCCACCTCCACCACCCCCACCTCCACCACCACCACCACCACCCCCACTGCCACCACCGCCACCAACACCCCCACCTCCACCACCACCACCCCCACCTCCACCACCACCACCCCCACCACCACCCCCCACCTCCACCACCTCCACCTCCACCACCACCTCCACCACCACCACCCCCACCACCACCCCTCACCCGCCCCTCCACCACCTCCACCACCACCCCCACCTCCACCACCCCCACCTCCACCACCACCACCCCCACAACCACCCCCACCCCCACCTCCACCACCTCCACCACCACCCCCACCTCCACCACCCCCACCTCCACCCCCACCGCCACCCCCACCACCACCACCACCCCCACCTCCACCACAACCCCCACCACCACCACCCCCACCACCACCACCACCCCCACCACCACCAACACCACCACCCCCACCTCCACCCCCACCCCCACCACCACCGCCACCCCCACCGCCACCCCCACCACCACCACCACCCCCACCACCACCATCCCTACCACCCCCACCACCACCCCCACCAACACCACCAACACCACCACCACCTCCACCACCACCCCCACCACCAACACCACCACCACCCCCACCACCAACACCACGACCACCCCCACCAACACCACCTCCACCACCACCACCCCCCACGCCCAACCCCACCACCCCCACCGCCACCTCCACCACCCCCACCACCACCTACCTCCACCACCACCCCCACCTCCACCACCACCTCCATCACCACCCGCACCACCACCTCCACCACCCCCCCCCACCTCGACCACCACCACCCCCCCCCCCACCACCCCCTCCACCCCCCCACCCCCTCCACCCCCCCCACCCCTCCACCACCACCCCCACCCCCACCCCCCCACCACCCCCACCGCGAGCGGGACACTTGAGCCGGCCAAGCGAGTCCGCCCCCCGCGGTGCCGCCGGTGCCATCAGCTCCGGCCTCCGTACCGGAGTTGAGAGCGTCGCGACGCGTCCCGAAGACGACAAGAAGTTTCTGCCGGCCACGCTGGCGACTCCGCCGTCCGTCCCCTCCCCTCGTCTCTCTCCTCTCCCTCTCTCAGCTCTCCTCTCCCCTCCTCTCTCTCAGCTCTCTCTCAGCTGTCCTCTCTCTCTCAGCTCTCCCCGCTCTCTCCTCTCTCTCTCAGCTCTCCTCTCCCCGCTCTCCCCGCTCTCTCTCTCGCACTCTCTCCCCTGCGCCCCCACCACCACCACCACGGGGCCCTTAACGCCACCTGGCCCCTACCCCGGCCAAACAAGAGTGGGCGGCTGCCTAGAAACACCGATGCTGGCTTTGGTGAGCTCAGATTAGAGAGAACAAACACAACAGAGGCGGCTGAAAAGAGCGCCCGCCAGAGCCGCGCAAGTCTGGACTTGCGGGGTCGGCACTGAGACGCAAAAAGCCACGAGAGTTGCGTTCTTGGGATTGGGGGTGGGCAGAATGAGGGGGCATGGTGAGGAGGCATGGTGAGGGGGCATGGTGAGGGGGCATGGTGAGGGGGCATGGTGAGTGGTGAGGGGGCATGATGAGGAGGCATGGTGAGGGGGCATGGTGAGTGGTGAGGGGGCATGGTGAGGGGTCATGGTGAGGAGGCATGGTGAGTGGTGAGGGGGCATGGTGAGGAGGCATGGTGAGGGGGCATGGTGAGGGGGCATGGTGAGGAGGCATGGTGAGGAGGCATGGTGAGGAGGCATGGTGAGGGGGCATGGTGAGGAGGCATGGTGAGGGGGCATGGTGAGGGGGCATGGTGAGGAGGCATGGTGAGGAGGCATGGTGAGGAGGCATGGTGAGGGGGCATGGTGAGGGGGCATGGTGAGGAGGCATGGTGAGGGGGCCAGAGGTTAGAATGGGAGCGGCATGCGCCGCCCACGAAAAAGTGTAGGGAAAATACAAATTTAATTTATATAAATTTGAAATTTCCTGCCTAAAATATAAAAAATGCACTAACACATAGGATTGACTTTTTAATTATTTTTAACAATAATGTCTAATAGTGTAATTGTATTACATTGCTCTGTTTTTTCTTTTTTACCTTTTCTTGTTTCATTGTATGTAATGTCAGAGATTAGGGATTAATAAAGTACAACCATAACCGCAATCACATAAACAGAAATCTATTTTATAGCAATATATTGGGGGGGGGGCGGGACACATTTTAATTACGGCCTTGTGGTCGAGGAATGTATCTTTGGGATTTGAGCCAAGCGGTGTGAGAACAACGGAATTGAGACACCCACACAGAGATTAAGATCCCCCGAGTAGCCTACAACAGGTTGTTTCGGGAGGGCACCACGCCCGGCCGCCTTTGTCTCCCCGGTGACGATGTTGAGTTGCGCACCGCCGCAGATACTCAATTAAGGTTGAGTTGACGTAGGTGGGGCCCACATCCAGTTCAGATAGTCGTCACTGGCGTTCAGCGTGTGCGGGAATCGAACCGGGTGGCCGGGTTCGTAACGCAGCGTGCTAACCGCTACACTACCGCTCTAAAGAAGAAAAAAACGACCCCAGTATAGCCTCAGCAGACTATTGGGGCATGGTACACGAGGGGGTGGGTGGCCAACAGCACCCCCGGCCGCCTTTGTCTCCCTGGAAGCGAAGTTTACACATCACGCCAGGTACTCATTTGACGTTGAGTCGACCTAGGGAATGCCCAGGACCGGTTCAGATAATCATCACTGGTGTTGGCCGTGAACTGGAATCGAACTTGGGTCACCGAGTTCGTAGCGCAGCGTGCTAACCACTACACTACCACTCCACCACGCAGTCACACACACACACAGTCAGACAACAACAACAACAGCCACTTCATCACCGAGTGGCGGTGACATCACCATAGCGCTTACGCCAGGCTAGGTGCAGTTTGAGGCTATCGTGTGACGTTACCGAATGCTCGTACACAGAGTCACCACTCCTTTTGCGTGCGAGTCACACGATCATTTGCTCGTAACCCGGCCTCCCACACGCCGGACTGCTGGCGATCTTTTGTAAGAGACAGAGAGCCTCATTGAAACTTCAGATTTTTTTTGCGTGCCATATCGGACGTAGAAGGCAGGACCTTGAGACCGCGATGACGACAACGACGATGACGACAACGACGACGACGACGAATAGACGCACGTAGAGTGAGTGTCACGGGCCTCCCCTAGGTCGACTCAGCCTCAAATGAGTACCTGGTGCGGTGTGTAAACATTGCCACTTGGGAGACAAGGCGGTCGGGCGTGGTGCTGGCCACCCACCCCCTCGTGTACCGTTCCGGCCTTCATAGGTGCTCGCTAACAGCACTTGCCCCTACAGTCTGTTAAGGCTATATGGGGGATCTTTGTCTTTTGTCCCGTTGCACGAGAGAACGAACGGCGACGAGGGATAGCTCCCGGCCTCGGCCACTCCGCGATATTCCACGGCTCGATCCAATCTCGCAGATCGCAGTGTCGTACACACAGGTCTCCCTCGCTCGACGCCAGTTCGGTCTGTGCGATTTTGGCTGAACGATATCTACCCAAAAGATTCGCTTCATGCGGTTTTAATTCACACAAACGCGGCTATAAACTAAACATTTGTTGTTGTTGATTAAACTTTTTTTTTATTTTAAGCAGGTAAGGCCCACTGAGCTATATGGCTCTTTATCAGAGGCGACCTGGCCACAAATGATAGCTCAACGAAGTGGCTTATCATCACGTGGAAATTTATAGCAGCCGAATACTCTAAACGCATTTTGATTCTAAAGCAACGTGTGTGGAGAAAAAAAACGGGAGCACCTGCAGAAAAAGCCACGCGATCACAGGGAGAGAGACAAGCAAATTCTAAATAAACATGTCAGGGTTGGGATCGAACCGACGACCTCCTGCATACCAGGCGAGGGAGTTAACATCTCCGAGCCACCGTGGCTATGCGGTCAGACGTGGGACAACATCGTGCACTGCACTCGCTACTCGGCAAGCAGCTGTCTCCTCTTGCGGTGCATTGTGGGTTGGGTGACAATATGTGAGTGAGTAGGTGAGTGAGTAGGTGAGTGAGTATGTGAGTGAGTGAGTGAGTTGGTGAGTATGTGAGTGAGTAGGTGAGTAAGTGGGTGAGTGAGTGAGTGAGTAGGTGAGTGATTCGATTAGTGAGTAGGTGTGTAGGTTGAGTGTGTGAATAGGTGAGTGAGTAGGTGAGTAAGTGGGTGAGTGAGTGAGTGAGTAGGTGAGTGATTCGATGAGTGAGTAGGTGTGTAGGTTGAGTGTGTGTATAGGTGAGTGAGTGAATAGGTGAGTGAGTAGGTGAGTATTTAGGTGAGTAAATAAGTGAGTGTGCCGGCGAGCGGCTGAGCACGTTACCCGACCCTCGACTTGACACTTTCTCCGCTGGAATGAGGCTTCGAGTTCCCTGCACTTGCATCTGCACCCGCGAGAACACAGAGACACACACGCACGTCAAACAATGACACAGATCCCCCGTGTAGCCTCAACGGCAGCTGGGCCAAGCGCTCTTAGCGAGTGGCACCTTTTAATGCCGAAACGGCACACGAGCGGGTGGGTGGTCAGCACCACGCGTCTTTTTCACCCGAGTGGCACGTTCAGCACGCGTACGCGCACGTACACCAGAGGTCGCAACCGGGTACCCGATACCCGTACCCTACCCGATACCCAGCTACCCGTACCCGGCCGGGTACGGGTACCCGTTTGCGACCCTGGTGCGGCCGGGTACAGGTAACGGGTAGGCCGTGAGTCACTGGTGAGTAACCGTTTGTCACTCATTTCCCAACGTCTTGTCTCTTCTCACAATTCCAGTTCCTAGAATCAACCCACCCGCGCCTGCAACATGGCTTCACCCCAGAGGTCGCAATCAGGTACCCGATACCCGTACCCTACCCGTACTCGGCCGGGTACGGTTAGGGTACGGGTACGGCCGGGTACGGGTACGGGTACCCGTTTGCGACCCTGGTGCGGCCGGGTACGGGTACGGGTTAGGAATCAAACCCCGTTTGCGACCTCTGACGTACACGTACGAGCGCACACACGAAGGCGCCACGGCGCTTGTGCCAGACTCGGTGCACTTCACAACGACAAAGACTAATGTCCCCCGTATAACCTCTACAGGCAGTTGGGGCAAGTGCTGTTACCTGGCACGGGGCACGAAGGTGGTGGGTGGCCAGCACTACGCCCGTCTGCCCTTTGTCTCCTCGCTGCCGATGTTTACACAGCGCACCAGATATTCATGATGGCTAAGTCAACCTAGGCGAGGCCCAGGACTGGTTCCGACTGATGTTATCCCAACCGAACTGAATGGGTGGGCGAGCGTGCGTGTGGGTGAGTGAGTGAGCGAGCCTAGTAAGTGACTGATAGTTCTAGATTTGAAGCTTTCGTGACTGCAAGGATTCATATTCTTAGGTTTTTTTCGGTAAAGTCACGTAGATAAAAAATTAAAATTAATAAAAGTAAAATAAAATAAAAATCACGACGTTTCGGAGGCAACACAAGCTTCCGTCTTCAGGTGAATTTTTATTTTTGATCTACGTGACTTTACCGAAAAAACCTAAGAATATGACTGATAGTTGTTTTAAGAGTGTGCCCATGTCGCTGGAAGGATATAAAACGCACGAGTCAGTAGTGGACAGGTCAGTCAATGTATGCTGCGAGTTAATGAGTGAGTGAGTGATTGAGTCCGTGAGTGCATGAGTGGGTGAGTGGGTGAGTGCATGAATGGGTGAGTGCATGAGTGGGTGAGTGGGTGAGTGCATGAGTGGGTGAGTGCATGAGTGGGTGAGTGCATGAGTGGGTGAGTGATTGAGTCCGTGAGTGCATGAGTGGGTGAGTGCATGAGTGGGTGAGTGCATGAGTGGGTGAGTGCATGAGTGGGTGAGTGCATGAGTGGGTGAGTGCATGAGTGGGTGAGTGCATGAGTGGGTGAGTGCATGAGTGGGTGAGTGCATGAGTGGGTGAGTGCATGAGTGGGTGAGTGCATGAGTGGGTGAGTGCATGAGTGGGTGAGTGCATGAGTGGGTGAGTGCATGAGTGGGTGAGCGAGTGTTGGGTGAGCAGGTGAACTCGTAAGAGGTTGAGTGAATGTGTGTGTTCGTTCTTGAGTGAGCATGCGAGTCAGTATATGGGTAAGCGAAGCAGCGAGTGGGTGAGTATGGATAAATAATTGAATGAGTAAACGAGTGAATGAGTGAGTGAGCGAGTGAGTAAAAGAGTGGGTGAGAGTGAGGATAAGCGAGTGAGTTGGCAAATTAGTGTACAGATGGATGGATGAATGAGTGGTTGATTAATTGAGTGAGTGCATATGAGTGATTAATCAGTTAACGTGAGTGAGAAAATAAATAGATGAGCGAACGAGTGAGTTATTCAGTGCGTGACTGATTAAGTGTATTTGTGGTTGATTGGGTCAGTGAGTAAATTAGTGAATGTGTGCATGGGTGGGTTAGTGACTAAGTGGTGGGTGAGTGAGTGAACTTGTCAGAGGTGAAGTGAATGTGCGAGTTAGTTCTTGAGTGATCATGCGAGTCAGTACATGTGTAAGCGAAGAGGTGAGTGGGTGAGTGTATGGATAAATTATTGAATGAGTGAGCGGTTGCGTGTTTTTATGAGCATGTTAGTATGTGGATAGGAAGTGAAAAGGCGAGTGTGTGAGTTGGTGAGTTGATAAGTGAGTGAGTATATGGATGGATGTATTCATGAATGCGCGAGCGAGCGGATGAGTGAATGAGTACGTGAGTGAATGAGTGAGTAAATGAGTGGGAGAGAGGATGAGTGAGTGAGTTGGCAAAGGAGTGTGTGGATGGATGAATGAGTGGTTGAGTGCACGAGTGTATAATAAGTCAACGTGTGAGTTAGTATATGAATGGATGAGCTAATGAGCAAATGAGCGAGTGAGTGAGAAAGCGATTCGGTGTATGGACAGATGAGTGAGTGGGTGAGTGAGCGGGTGAGCGAGCGTGTGAGCGAGCGGGTGAGCGAGCGGGTGAGCGAGCGGGTGAGCGAGCGGGTGAGCGAGCGGGTGAGCTCACGGGGCGAGCTCACGGGGCTGTAACTACACTCTAACGTGACAACCCGTCAAGCGACACGTGGACTGACCGTCGCCCCCCGACGTCCGATCCGCGACCGCTGGGTTTGTCGCAGCAGGGCGGCCGATCCTGGGATCCCCGTGGGGGGGGCCACGCGGATCCCCACCCTCTGCCGGGGGGCCCCTCCCGGCGTCCCCTGCTCGCCGGAGTCCACCGGTACCCCCCGCCGGCTCCGTGCCATCCCGCGCGGGAGCCAGCGACGGTTGCGCGCTCTCTGCTTCGCCGCCACCGCTCCTCTTGCCGCCGCCGTCGCCCCCTCCGTCCTGCTTCCCGGCCGTCGGCCACCGCTGCCTCGCCCTGCCGGGTTTCGTCGTCGGCCGCTTGGCCCGGCGCCGCTCGGCGGGAGGGGCGGCCGCCCCGGCGTCGGCCTCGCTGGGGGCGTCGCTGGCGTAGTCCTGGTCGCCGTCGTCCTCCTCGTCGCGGCTCCTGCCGGCGCCCCACGCCCTCGCGAGCGTCGGCGGCCGGGTCGCCCGAGACTGCGCCCACCCCGGGACCGGCCGCACCTCCCGGGGTGCGGCGGCGACGGCGTCGTCGCACCCCGGCTTCGCGGTCATTGTGGCGTCGGCGGCGGCGGCGTTGTGGCGGGCGCTGACGTCTCCCGGCACGACGGGCACGTGCACGATCCTGTCGTCGAGACGCTTGTACGCGACGGACGCTCCCACGCGGTACGTCTTTTGGCTGCAGTCGCTGTGCTCATGCTCCTCCTTCCCCTCCTTCTCCTCCTCCTCCTCCTCCTCCACCTCATCATCGTCGTCAACGTCATCATCATCGTCGGTGCCTTCGTCACCGCCACCTTGCCGTACGGATTCCGACGCCGCGACTTCCGGCCTCGCGCCGGCAGCCGGCTCGCCGGCGCCATTCCCGCTGCCGGAGGAGCCGCCCTGGTCTAAGTTCCCGTTGACGTCTCTACGCGCCACTCGCTTGGACGCGTCGTCGGGACCGCGGTCGTCGCTCGCGGGCGGAGCGCCGTCCTCCAGCATCGACTCGAAGCGGTTCACCAGCCGCGGCACGCTGCCCTCCCCGCCGACGCCGCCGCCGGGGGACGGCGCCGGAAATCGCTCCAACGCCGTCGACCGGGAGGCCCCGGCTCTTTCGGCGTTCGCGTCCGCCGTGGCCGGGCCGGCGGACGCCGCCGCCGCCGCCGCCGCCCCGCCGGCATTAACGCCGGCGCCGCTTGGCAACCGCGGGATGGCCCCGGCGCCGCCGGAACGCTGGCTCAGCAGCCGGAGCTTCTGCCCCACGCGGCTCACGCCCTGCACCTCCGGCAGGGCTCGGCGGCCCTGCGTCCTCGCCGCCGGCGCCGGCCCCGCTCCGGCCGGCGACAGCCGCGGGGCCCGCGGGCACCGTCTGGAGGGACCGGGCCCCCGCGCCGGGGAGGAGAAGGCGGCGGCGGTGGCGGCGGTGCCGTGGCGGGCGCGGGCGAATCGCTGGGTGCCCTCTCCTTTCTTCAGAAACGATTTGGTGGTGTGGACCGGCGCCTCGACTGAGTGGGCCTGTGGCGACGGGAGGGGCGGGGGGGGAGGGGGTGCCAGGGCCCGAGGGCAGGAGGGGATGGAGGGACGAGGGGATGAGGACGAGGGAGGATGGAAGGGGATGCGGGGATGAGATTGGAGAAGTTTGGGGGGCGGTGGGGGGAGAGATTCCAGAGAGGAGGGGATGAGGAGAGGGGACGGGGGAGAGGGGAGGGGATGGCAGCAGCGTTGTGCGAGGGTCACGACTCGGCGCTGTCACATGCGCACAACTGCGTGGCCATGTGACCACTCCGCTCCCTCTGGCATGCATACACATACACACACAAAGACAAAGATCCCCCTTATTGCCTGAACAGACTGTAGGGGCAAGTGCTGTTAGCGAGGAGCACCTATGAAGGCCGGCACAGTACACGAGGGGGTGGGTGGCCAGCACCACGCCCGACCGCCTTTGTCTCCCCAGTGGCGATGTTTACACACTGCACGAGGTACTCATTTGAGGCTGAGTCGAGCTAGGTGAGGCCAAGGACCGTTTCAAATAATCGTCATTGGTGTTCGCCGTGAGCGGCAATCCAACTCGGGTCGCCGGGTTCATCGCGCAGCGTGCTAACTGCTACAACACCGCTCCCCACACACACACGCACAACAAAGGCAAAGATAAAGATCCCCCGTATAGCCTTAACAGACTGTTGGGGCAAGTGCTGTTAGTGAGCACCTATGAAGGCCGGCACGGCACACGAGGGGGTGGGTGGCCAACACCACGCCCGGCCGCCTTTGTCTCCCTAGTGGCGATGTTTACACATCGCACCAGGTACTCATTTGAGGCTGAGTCGACCTAGGGGAGGCCCAGGACCGGTTCAGATAATCGTCACTGATGGTGTTGGCCGTGAGCGAGAATCGAACCCGGGTCGCCAGGTTCATAGCGCAGCGCACTAACCGCTACACTACCGCTCCCCACACACACACGCACGGACACACACACACAGACACACGCACACACACATGGACACACACACACACGGGTGACACACACGCTCGCTGACTGTGTGCGTGTGCACGAATACATGGGAAGCGGCAGTGGAGTGATTAGCGCGCTGCGCTACGAACCTGGAAACGCGAGTTCGATTCCCGCTCACAGCCAACACGGGCGACAAATACCTTGGACCGGTGCTGGGCCTGCCCTAGGTTGACTCAGCCATAAATGCGTAAACAGCAGCATTGGGGAGACAAGGGTGGCTGGATGCGTTTCTGGCCACCCCACCCCCTCGTGTGGCTTTGTGGCCTTCATATGTTCTGGCAAACAGCACTTGCCACGGCAGTCTGTTAAGGGTATACGGGGGATCTTTGTGTGTGGTTGTGCGCGTGTACGATGTGTGCGTGCACGTGTACAATGTGTGCGTGCGCGCGTGTGTGTGTCCATGTGCGATGTGCGTGCGTGCATGTACGATGTGTATGTGTGTACGATGCGTGTGTGTGTGTGTATGATGCGTGTGTGTGTGCGTGTGTGTGCGCGTGTGTGCGTGTGTGCGTGCCTTGTGAGCTGCTCCGCGCGCCTCCTGCAACTTGAGCTGCTCCTCCACAAACTCCTCAAACGTCGTTCTCCTCCCCACCACCCCCGGACGGATCGGCCTGAGCACAACACCAGCAGGAGCAGCTTCACCGCAGCATTCACCATCCCCTCCGCTACCGTCACCACATTCACCACCACCACATTCACCACCCCCACCGCTAACGTCACCACCACCACCACCACCACATTCACCATCCCCACCGCTACCGTCACCACCACCACGTTCACCACATTCACCACCCCCACCGCTACCGTCACCACATTCACCACCACCACATTCACCACCCCCACGGCTAACGTCACCACCACCACCACCACCACATTCACCATCCCCACCGCTAACGTCACCACGACCACATTCACCACATTCACCACCCCCACCGCTACCGTCACCACATTCACCACCACCACATTCACCACCTCCACCGCTACCGTCACCACCACCACATTCACCACATTCACCACACCCACCGCTACCGTCACCACATTCACCACCACCACATTCACCACTAGCACCACCGTCACCGCCACTATCAGCACCGCCACCATCACCGCCAGCGAAGCGCCGCCACTCCACCCCCCGCGAGCTCTCGCGAGCCCCCCTAGAGGGGGCGCTTGCTCCTCGTCATCGTGGATGAGGAGGAAGTACCCACAATGGACCCCACCGTGCGCGACCTGCCGATCGACTGCGGCGTCAGCGCGTACACCGCCGCTGGGGCGGACAAAGGCCACGTGGGGGAGAAGCAGGAGGAGAGGGGGATTTTTTAAAAAAACTTGCCAACGTTACAAATGCCGTGGCCGGGAGATCGAAACGGCTGACCATTATACCGGCCAGTAAGCGGACAGGATTGAAGTACAACGGACCTGTCCTCCGCGTAGGGGGGAGGCTTCTGTGCGGCCGAGCGTTGCTCCTGTGCCTCCCCGTGCCGTCCCCGCCGCCAGGGCCGCTCCTGGGCCACGCCGCTCGCACGCGCGTCGTCCTCTGGGATGCTCTCGTCTGAAACCCGCGTGACATGCGCACGCACGCACACACGCATACATACACACACACGGACATACACACGCACACAACGCACACACACGCACACACACGCACACACACGCACACATACACACAACGCACACACATGCACACACACGCAAATGTGCACACACGCACACAACGCACACACACACGCACACATACACACACACGGACATGCAGACGCATACACGCACACACGCGCACACGCACACACGCGCACACACAGCGGCAAAGATCTCCGTTTAGCAAAGCGCTGTGAGCGAGTACCTATAAATGCCGGCATGGCACATGAAATGATGGGTGGCCATCACCACACGCACACAATGTCAAAGACCTCCCGTATAGCCTTAACAGATTGTTGGGGCAAGTGCTGTTAGCGAGCACCTATGAAGGCTGACACGGCGCACGAGGGGTTGGGTGGCCAGCACCACACCCGGCCGCCTTTGTCTCCCGACTGGTGATGATTACACACCGCACCAGGTACTCATATGAGGCTGAGTGAACCTAAGCGAGGCCCGGGACCGGTTCAGATAATCGTCACTGGCGTTGGTGGCCGTGAGCGTGAAACAAACTCGGCTCGCCGGGTTCGTAGCGCAGCCGTGCTAACCGCTGCACCACCGCTCCCCCAACACACAACAACACCACTGGCCATTCGCCACTAAGTGGCGGTGACGTCACCACGGTGCCTGTGCCGGGCCAGGTGCACCTCGAGAGGCCACCACGTGAAGCGTCGAAGGCTCGCTGCTGGCAGGAGGAGGTCACGGGGACAGACCCAGGTGCCACGGGTTGCCTGGCAGGCGGATACACCGCCCGTGCCCCCTACGACACGGACGGCGGGAGGCGTGCGCGCCCCGTTTACCGAGCGTCGTGTCGGCGTCTTCGGCGTGGGCACGGGCGGCGCCGTGGGTCGCCGGGCGCCACTCGTTCCGGTCGCTGGACGACGCCGAGCCCACCGAGGCCGCTCCCCTCTCGCCGTCGCCTACGGAGACAAAGACGAAGATTCTCCCGTGAGGCCTCGACAAGACCGTTGGGGCCACACACACGGAGGAGGAGGGAGGAGGAGGGAGGATGATTGGTGTGACAGGGGGAGACATTTAGACACTGGCGGAGAGACGTGGGGACACGCAGCAGGACATGGGGACATGGAGACGGAAGGCATCGGGACAAAAGGGGAGACATGGAGACATGGAGGAGGAGACACGCAGGGAGGAGAGGGGAGACAGCGAGAGGGATAGGGACAAAGGGGAGACATGGGGACACAGAGGGACATTGAGACACGGAGACAGGGGATGGGCAAGAGTGATGGGGAAAGTGAGCGTGAGGTGAGGGTCATGCAGAGGTCAAGCTGGGGTCGTGGTGAGGCACGTGGCGATCGCGTTGAGAGACGCAGCGATGAGCGTGAAAAACGATGGTTGCGGTGAGCAAAGTGATTAGGCCGCGGAGGGATGTGGCGAGGGGTGATGATGGGGGGTTTGGTGATGGGTGACGAGGAACGCGGCGGGGTTGTGGTGAGGATTGTGGCGATGGATACGGTAAACTCGTGGTGAGGGTTGTGGTGAGGGTTGTGGTGAGGGTCGTGGTGAGGGTTGTGGTGAGGGTTGTGGTAAGGTATGTGGTGAGGGTCGTGGTGAGGGTTGTGGTGAGGGTTGTGGTGAGGGTTGTGGTAAGGTATGTGGGGAGGGTTGTGGTGAGGGTTGTGGTGAGGGTTGTGGTGAGGGTTGTGGTGAGGATTGTGGCGATGGATGCGGTAAACTCGTGGTGAGGGCTGTGGTGAGGGCTGTGGTGAGAGTCGTGGCCAGGGTTGTGGTGAGGGTTGTGGTGAGGGTTGTGGTGAGGGTTGTGGTGAGGGTTGTGGCGAGGTTACCGTCAGCCTGGGAGGACAGGTACTTGAGGGCCCACCAGGACAACTCTGTGAGACACGCGGATGGCAACGTCGTGACATCGCCAGCAGCGGAATTGACTAAACGGGCTGCACGATAAAAGTTCCAGACACTGGATAACGATAACCGGCATTCACCGGACGTACCAGAGATGGCAATGGTAAAGTTTATAGGATCTGGTATCCAGTATTGAGATCTGGTTTCAGGATCCACTTTGCCAAATCCGTGATTTCGTCACGAGATCCGAGCAACTTTTTGGTTTTCCCCTCGCGAATTTCTGGAGCGAGGGCATCATGCAGATTCAAGGGACCCTGCATCGGTTCACTCCGTGTAACACTCCAATTAGCACGGTTGGCTACGGACGATGTGAAAGAAGTTCAACGTAGAATACGTAACATGTCTGATGATGCAAACAAAGGGTAAAAAAACAATTATCATATTTTGCTACTGGCAAAGGAGGTTCCGATGGTGTAAATGCTTACCCCCGAGCTCTCATACTCTGATGGTGCATTGTCTTTGAGTTGTGCGCCTTTTGGCGTCATCTGGTCCAACACCATGTGAGACTAGGCTCTAAGAAAAGCTGTCTCGGGTGTGGACCAATCAATTTCAAGGACAGTGCATACATTATCAGAGTTGTGTTTTTTGTTTGCATTCCGACCGCAGGTATTGTGGTCAATGCAATCATAACTCCTTATAAAAAAAGGTATCAGTTTTGTTGCCAAATAAAAGGGTAAAAAGACAATGATCATGTCTGATGATATTTATGATGGCGTTAGAAGGTCTTATCTAGTGATATCTAGGGATATTTTTAAAAAATGCTTTCCAAGGAAAGTTAAAAGCGTGAAGGCATTATGAGCTCTGTCTGTCCAGGTGGATCAGCGGTGGAGTCCAAATCCTTGTTGGCAATTGAACTCAACCCATCATCCATTTGGGGGGTCGATAAAATTAAAAACCACTTCGTGGAGAGGTCCACGGTGATTATCCTATGGTTGGAATTGCCGTAACAACACTACGTGCCGTCCGCTTCACTCGATGATGGCGGTGATGTCGGTGATGGTGGTGATGGTGGCGCACCACAACACTACGCGCCGTCTGCTTCACTCGGTGGACGTTAAAGATCCCGCGGCGTAATTCGCAGGAGTAGGCCATTGTGTGCCGGCGTCAGGGTCCAAGTTTACCAAGTTAATAAAATAAAAAAATCCACCGCAAATTACTTCGATTGGGATTATACACACACACACAACCACGGCAGCAGCAATCGTTGCCCCCTCCTGGCAGGCTCGTGCCCCAGGTCACTCTTGCTAATGCGACTCCCATCCTGGTTCCACGAACAAAAACTTGAAAGAATTCGGGACGAAACACCCAAAGGCAACTGGGCAACTTTGCTGAGACACATTCGATGACTTTCTGCTTTCAGGAGCCCGGCGCACGACGCCAGATCGAGATCTGGTATCTGTCGTCACGCCTGCCACTTGGCGCTAGCGCACGGACTCACCCGGAGTGCGGTTGGCGCTGGTGCCGCTGCTGATGCTGGCGTTCTCAGAGTGCGCTCCTGCGGGAAGGCCGAATGGTGGCGTGGTCGACGTGGATAACACCTGCTGCTGCTGCTGCTGTAACTGCTGCTGCTGCTGCTGCTGCATCATCGTGGGAAGGTGGGCACCAGCTGCCGCGAGTAGGCTGAAGGGGTTGAACTGGGGCATCGCCGTGGAGAAGGCCAGCGATGTGAGGTCGGAGGGAAATCCGACGGGAAATGAGACCGGGAAACCTGCAATGCAATGGACAGTGGGATTACAAAGTGGATTAATACTGTGTCAGTGCAGGAGTGATCTCATTGGTGATGTTTGTGATGTCGGTTGTGTTGTCGGTGGTGATGTCGGTAAGAGTGGTTGTAATGTCAGTGACAATGGTGATGTTGGTTGTGATGTCGGTGGTGATGTCGGTAAGAGTGGTTGTAATATCAGTGACAGTGGTGATGTCGGTTGTGATGTCGGTGGTGATGTCGGTAAGAGTGGTTGTAATATCAGTGACAATGGTGATGTCGGATCTACGATGTTGATGGTGACAATGTCCGTGATTTCGGTGGCGATGTCGGTGACGTTGGTGTTGATGTCAGTAACGGTGGCGGTGATATCGGCGGAACTGGCGATGTCGGTGATACAAAGTCGATGTTGATGATGATGATGATGTCGATGACAGCGATGATGTCGCTGATGATGTCAGTGATGTCGGTGATGATGTCGCTGATGATGTCGCTGATGATGTCCGCGATGGTGGCGCACCACTGCCAGGGCGAGCAAAGGCTGAGGACAGCAGTCCCAGAATTCTCTGCTGCTGCTGCTGCTCATTCTGCAATCGCAGCAGTTGCTCCACCTGCTGCTGCTGCTGCTGCCTCTGAGCCGCATCCTGATGCCCCGTCCTGCCACATCTGCAGCAGTACACACACACACTGGACACGTGGACACACAGATATATACACAAAGACAACAAAAATCCCTCGTATAGCCGTAACAGACTGTTGGGGCAAGTGCTGTTAGCGAGCACGTGACACACAAAGATCCCCCGTATAGCGTTTATAGACTGTAGGGGCAAGTGCTGTTAGCGAGCACCTATAAAGGCTGGCACGGCACACGAGGGGGTGGGTGGCCAACACCACGCCCGGCCGCCTTTGTCTCCCTAGTGGCGATGTTTACACATCGCACCAGGTACTCATTTGAGGCTGAGTCGACCTTGGGGAGGCCCAGGACCGGTTCAGATAATCGTCACTGGTGTTGGCCGTGAGCGGGAATCGAACTCGGGTCACCAGGTTCGTAGCGCAGCGCACTAACCGCTACACTACCGCTCCCCACACACACACATATACACACACATATACAGACACACATATACAGACACACACACACACTCACGCACACACACACCCACGTCCCACCTGCTGCTGCTCCTGCAGCAGGCCCTGCAGGAACGACGCCTGCGCCCCGGTTGGCACCGGCGTTCCCGCGCTCTCTCCGCCCCCTCCACCACCTCCTCCTCCTCTCCCCTGTCTGGCCAGCACGGCCTGTGGCTCCTCCGCCCTCATCGCAGCGGCAGTCGCCCCTTGCTCTGGGAGGCGAGGGCCCAGCGGCGCGGACGGAGGCCCCCGGGCACCCTGTGCCTCTGGGAGGCCACGCTCACCCATGCACGCGTGAGCCCATCACCCACGTCACCTGCGCGGCTGGGCTCCCGGGCATCACCTGGCCCGGCCTGGTAAGGGGCGGACGGGTTGAGAGGTTGACCAATGAGCTCGTGAATGTATGCGGCACGTACGTTGAACTTCTTTCGTGGACAATCGGAGGTGCGGGGGAAGGACAACAAACTAAACACAAATGCAGTTCGAAAGAAATTAGTTTGTCAATCTAGATGATGATGATGATTTAAAAGTGCATAGCTCCCAGCGGCTTCCTAATATCGTAAGGAAAGAGCGTTCCAGACGGCCGCAGAAGCACATCTGAAAGCGCCGCGCGATGCAGGTGACCGTCTTTGTTCAATGGCCGAGCCAAAATTCGCTGCTGCGAGGATGACCGGAGCTCACGCGATGACGATTTATGCTCCTTGACGAGCTCAGAAAATCATCGCGGTTCGTTTGCGGCAAGCACTTTGTGCGTAATCAGCACGACCTTGCGATGCATTCGTTCAGCAAGCGGAAGCCAAAAGCCGCTCAGCAAGTAATTCTAGATTTGAAGCTTTCGTGACTTCAAGGATTCATATTCTTAGGTTTTTTCTGTAAAGTCACGTAGGTAAAACATCAAAATTAATAAAAAATAAAATAAAATAAAGATCACGACGTTTCGGAGGCAACACAAGTCTCCGTCATTAGGTGGGCCCGTCACAGCCAGATTAGCTGCATCAAGTGATTTTGATGTTTTACCTACGTGACTTTACCGAAAAAACCTATGAATATGCTCAGCAAGTACTTGGACGGATATGGTCAGATCTTGCGGTGCCCGTCACGATGCGTGCCAGTCAATGTTGTACACACCGCAGCTTCAAATGGCACAGTGCATAAGTGTCTCTACGGGGCCGTCCATAAATGACGTCACGCACCTAGGGGGGTGGTGGGTCAGACATTTGTGACGATGTGTAACGAGGGGGGGGTGGGTGTTTGAGAAATGTGACGTCACGTCAAAATGCGCAACTTTGAATAAATATAGACAACGCGTTCTACTTAATTAAATAGACGTTTAAATAAATGTTTACTCCTACAACATCAGAGTGCAGCGCCACATTAAATACGCACTACAATGACAATAGTTTAAAGCGATTTGAAGCATGTTTTATTTGGGGGGGGGGGGGGCAGAGCTTTGTGACGTCATATTTGAGGGGGGGGGGGTCTGACTTTTTGTGACGCCGTGTGATGATGGGGGTGGGGGGCTGAAAAATCGCCCAAAATCGCGTGACGTCATTTATGGACGGCCCCGTAGAGTACACAGGTAGTCATTTGATCCTCATCGGGGTTCGATTAATCTTCACAACGTTGTGTTTGTCAATTCACAGACCTGTCAAGCCATACGGTTTACCGCATATTCTTGTACAGGGGAATTGAGTTTTTCGGATCCACGCGGCGTACAATACTGGTGGTCAAAATGCAAACTAAAAACACACTCTGATAAGATATTACCATTGTCCTTAAAACTGATTGGTCCACACCAGAGATGGCTTTCTTTTGAGCCTCGTCTCAATTGGTGCTAGAACAGAGGGTGCTAAAAGGCGTACAGCTCAAAGACGATGCACTATCAAAGTAATGAGAGCTGGGGGTGAGCATCTACATCATTAGACCTCCTTTACCAGCAAAAAGGGGAAACCCCCTATTATTATATTTTAGTACTGGCAAAGGAGGTCTAATGCTGTAGTATCTATTTGGTCTTTTAACATCTGAACACCTATTTTATTGCCATAAAGGGTTAAAACCCATTCGTGTGTTTCACACCTTAAAATCAACATAACCTCCCAGAACATCTGTGAAACGAGTGATTCGCCTGAGTAGTAGAAGTAGTAGTATCTACTGCGTGTAATAATCACCTCCCGAGAGGAGATGGAGCGATGAAATCGGCTCGCGTGCAGCAGGCGCCGGGGTGGATTTTGACATCGGGGTGAACCGAGTGGATTGATCATGGCGGTTGATGATCAATGATGATGATACTCTTAGTTCTTTCGGTAAAGTCACGTAGGTAAAAAATGAAATTAAAATTAATAAAAAATAAAACAATAAAAATCACGATGTTTCGGAGGCAACACAAGTCTCCGTCATCAAGTGGGGCCGTCACAGCCAGATTTGCTGCATCAAGTGAGGGAGGGATTCGAGATGTAAGCTCTTAAGAGCCTACATGCAGCAAATCTGGCTGTCCGGTCCCACCTGATGACGGAGACTTGTGTTGCCTCCGAAACGTCGTGATTTTTATTGTTTTATTTTTATTAATTTTAATTTCATTTTTTACCTACGTGACTTTACCGAAAGAACTAAAAGTATGAATCCTTGCAGTCACGAAAGCTTCAAATCTAGAATTAGATGATGATGATTAACTCACCTGCACAGGCTATGGTGGGGTCATTGAGTCCCTCTGGACTCCATGCAGAGTAAGGTCACCCGCAGCGGAGTGGCTTCACACGTTCTCGCTTCAGTCACGGAATCCAGGTGGTGAGGGTACAGGTGAGAGGGAGAGTACAGGTGAGAGGAAATACAGGGGAGAGAGAGGGAGTACAGGTGAGAGTGAGGGAGTACAGGTGAGAGTGTGTACAGGTGAGAGGGAATACAGGTGATAGATACAGGGGAGAGAGAGTACAGGTGAGAGAGGGGGTACAGGTGAGAGAGAGGGGGTACAAGTGAGAGGGGTTACGGGTGAGAGTGAGTACAGGTGAGAGTGTGTACAGGTGAGGGTGTGTACAGGTGAGGGTGCGTACAGGTGAGAGAGAGGGGGTACAGGTGAGAGGGGTTACGGGTGAGAGTGAGTACGGGTGAGGGTGTGTACAGGTGAGGGTGTGTACAGGTGAGGGTGTGTACAGGTGAGGGTGTGTACAGGTGAGGGTGTGTACAGGTGAGGGTGTGTACAGGTGAGAGGGGGACGGGTGAGAGGGGTTACGGGTGAGAGTGAGTACAGGTGAGAGTGTGTACAGGTGAGGGTGTGTACAGGTGAGGGTGTGTACAGGTGAGAGTGTGTACAGGTGCGAGTGAGTGTGTACAGGTGAGAGAGAGGGGGTACAGGTGAGGGTGAGTACAGGTGAGAGAGAGGGGTGGTACAAGTGAGAGAGATAATTCAGGTGAGAGTGTGTTTGGATGAGATTCGGGACAGTACAGATACAGTCCACGTGAAGAGGCCACTGGTTAAAGACGGGATTGCGTGCAGGCGAGTACAGTGTACACAGTACGAGAGTACAGTTTATAAACAGTGGAGATGTGAAGTACACGAGGTTGAGGCGTTTGGGTAAAGATGAGGGTGAGTGCAGGTGAGTAGAGGTGAGGAGGGTGAGTGAGTGCAGGTGAGGAGGGTGAGTGAGTGCAGGTGAGGAGGGTGAGTGAGTACAGGTGAGGAGGGTGAGTGCAGGTGAGGAGGGTGAGGAGGGTGAGTGAGTGCAGGTGAGGAGGGTGAATGAGTACAGGTGAGGAGGGTGAGTACAGGTGAGGAGGGTGAGTGCAGGTGAGGAGGGTGAGGAGGGTGAGTGAGTGCAGGTGAGGAGGGTGAGTGAGTGCAGGTGAGGAGGGTGAGGAGGGTGAGTGAGTGCAGGTGAGGAGGGTGAGTGAGTGCAGGTGAGGAGGGTGAGGAGGGTGAGTGAGTGCAGGTGAGGAGGGTGAGTGAGTGAGTGAGTGCAGGTGAGTAGAGGTGAGTAGGGTGAGTGAGTGAGTAAGTGCAGGTGAGGGTGAGTGAGTGAGTGAGTACAGGTGAGGAGGGTGAGTGCAGGTGAGGAGGGTGAGGAGGGTGAGTGAGTGAGTACAGGTGAGGAGGGTGAGTGAGTGCAGGTGAGGAGGGTGAGGAGGGTGAGTGAGTGCAGGTGAGGAGGGTGAGTGAGTGCAGGTGAGTAGGGTGAGTGAGTGAGTGAGTGCAGGTGAGGAGGGTTAGTGAGTGAGTAGAGGTGAGTAGGGTGAGGAGGGTGAGTGGAGGTGAGTGTGCAGGTGAGTGTGGAGTGAGTGTGGAGTGAGTGTGGAGGTGAGTGTGGAGGTGAGTAGGGTGAGTGGAGGTGAGTAGGGTGAGTAGGGTGAGTGAGTAGGGTGAGTAGAGGTGAGTGAGTAGGGTGAGTAGGGTGAGTGTGGAGGTGAGTAGGGGTGAGTGAGTAGGGGTGAGTGTGGAGGTGAGTAGGGTGAGTGGAGGTGAGTGAGTGTGTAGGTGAGTGAGTAGGGGTGAGTGTGGGGTGAGTGTGGAGGTGAGTGTGGAGGTGAGTGTGGAGGTGAGTAGGGTGAGTGAGTAGGGTGAGTGTGGAGGTGAGTGTGGAGGTGAGTGTGGAGGTGAGTAGGGGTGAGTGTGGAGGTGAGTAGGGTGAGTGTAGGGGTGAGTGTGTAGGTGAGTGAGTAGGGGTGAGTGTGTAGGTGAGTGGAGGTGAGTGAGTAGGGTGAGTACAGTCCGGGTCGCGTTTCCCTCTCCCGGCGTCCCCACGTGACTCGGCCGCGCTGGCAACGAGCGGCGTCACGGGGAGAGAGGAATTCAGAGTGTGTGTGTCTGTGTGTGTGTCTGTGTGTGTGTGTCTGTGTGTGTGTCTGTGTGTATGTCTGTGTGTGTCTGTGTGTGTGTGTCTGTGTATGGGTGTCTGTGTATGGGTGTCTGTGTGTGTGTGTCTGTGTGTGTGTGTATGTGTGTCTGTGTGTGTGTCTGTGTGTGTGTGTCTGTGTGTATGTCTGTGTGTGTGTGTCTGTGTGTGTGTCTGTGTGTGTCTGCGTGTGTGTCTGCGTGTGTGTCTGTGTGTCTGTGTGTATGTCTGTGTGTGTGTCTGTGTGTGTCTGTGTGTGTGTCTGTGTGTGTCTGTGTGTGTGTGTCTGTGTGTGTGTGTGTGTGTCTGTGTATGTGTGTCTGTGGGTGTGTCTGTGGGTGTGTGTGTGTTTGTGTGTGTGTCTGTGTCTGTGTGTGTCTGTGTGTGTGTGTCTGTGTGTGTGTGTCTGTGTGAGTGTCTGTGTGTCTGTGTTGTTGTCTGTGTGTGTTCCTGTATGTGTGTCTG